TTGTTTAATGTGCATGTTAAAAATAACATCGTTTAAAAAGCTGTTTATCAGTAAAGATTTGTTTAATCCCTAATGAATATTTTTCTAAATAGGGGCATGCAAAGTAGGTATATAGGGAAAAGCAAAACGTATATAAACGTATTTTATTGACTATACAAACATCAATAATGGGATACTACTTACTGTATACCTACTTTTGCAACCCCCTTTATATGATTAACTTTCCTGGTACATTTTCTCCTGCTCTTTATAAAAATATTCATATTACATTCTTTTATTTTTTCTTTGAGATTCTATCCAATTTTTGAGATAATTAAAATTTTACAAAGACCGAAGTGTCTCTACACTGGAATTTCAATTTATAATTATACACGATAGGTAGATACAAAAAGAGCCGGATTAATACTAAACTGAACCCTGACTTTACATCTGAGATTATGATATCAACTTTTTGATTTGTAATGTAAATAGACTGATGAATTGCACACAGATATTTTATGTAAATCTGTGGAGTTCTAAATTATGGAAGCCAAAAAAGAAAGAATAGAAAGGACAAACACGGATAAATGTGCCCCCAAAAAGATGGGAGTATCAAAAGACGGTTTTTACCATTGCAATAAATAATAAATAGTGTAAACAAACATTCTAATAACAAATAGTGTTTAATATTTTGTTGTCAATTCTTCAGAACCCTTGAGAATGTATAAATTCACTTGCATCATGTAGAAACAGTGTTTTTCAAACTCTTTGTTTCGGTTCATACAGGATTCTGAATGCACTTAGCTGGTTGTAATTCCACCTAGAGTTAATGTTGGAAATGTTCTACAAGTTGTGCACATTGGGTCTTGTGGCATTATGCAGAACATGCTGAATCTATTTTTCTTTTTTATAAAAATAGGTTTTAAACTAAACTAGGCTTTCTACAAGATATGAATAGATTGAAATTGATATGAACAGACAAAGATTGATAGATAGGTAGATATGAATAGACCAGGATTGCTGGATAGGTAGATATAAACAGAGCAGGATTGCTAGATAGGTAGATATAAACAGAGCAGGATTGCTAGATAGGTAGATATAAACAGAGGCAAATTGGTAAATAGGTATATATGAACAGACCAGGATTGATAGATTGGTAGATATAAACAGACCAAGATTATTAGATTGATAGGTAGGTAGGTAGATGTGAACAGACCAAGATAAGATACATAGGTAATGAACAAGATTAGTTATATATGAAAAGACTGAGATAGATATTTCTTTTGTTTATCACACACTAGATCTACTTTTGTGGTGGGGGGGCATCTCATGGTGGGTAATAGTTAACAAAATAGTTTAACTGATCATTGCTACTAAGTAGTGAGTTGGGTGCTCAATATTTATGGCCTTATGCTAGAACTAAGCTAAGTCCTAGCAGTATTTATTCTCATGCCCACTTGAACAGAATGTGGCAAAAGACCCGAGTTTAAAAGTGGGGTTCCAATGTACACATGGAATCAAAAGCCAAAAATAGTCCAGTTCTCTTGATAGTCCCCCCTTTTAGGGATGCTTCAAGTGCTGGATAATAACCTTAGCCCCATCTCGAGAGAAGTATTGTCGTGGGAGATTTTATATTATGCATGCAAACCAATGTGTGAACAAATAGGCTTCTTTTTTTTTTCTTTTTTTTTTTTAACCATTTCACACCAGGTAAGGCAATAAAGCCACTAAGACTCAAGGGGTTAATGAGTGTGAAAGAATATGTGAAAATGAAAAGCATTTTCAAGGAAAGAGAACAATAAAAGAAAAGGAATTAAGAAGACAGAAAATGACAATTCACATTGCATTTACGCTTTTGAAATTCAAAATTGTCTAAAATGCAGGAAGCCAGAAGAGAATTCCACAAGCGAGAATTACAAGAGGAAATTGTTAGCATAGAACACACAGTTATATCTAGCCATTTCAACTGTAAAATGATGTGACCTAGCTGCCAATCTAGTACTGCACTTAAATTCATAAAGTCGAGGTGCATATTTATTATGCAAATTTTGTTGACTATTAGAGTAGGCATTGCTTTTTGCAGCCTGCTAAACTTCTTCTGTCCAACAAAGATGGCTTTTGTTCTTCTTACACTTTCTTGAAAATAATGTCCTTTACTGCTACATGGTGGCACCAGTGATTTTCTTTTAAAAACATTGGATACATGCAGAAGATGTTGATGACATTGAATAATTCAGTTGAGAAAAATCTGCTGCCATTTCTGTCTACAATGAAACGGCATGAAATGTTTTTTTTATAAAAGTTATTGTTGGATATTGGTTGAGGAAAGACCTTTGACCTTACTTCCGCTGCATCAGCGTGTGGACAGAAATCGGAGCTGGTGATAGCATAAACTTGAAATGCATCCAGTGGCTAAAATAAACAGGGCACACAGGTATCCTGAGCCTTGAATAAACATGACACACAGTTATCCTGAGCAGAAAAAAATGTATGCTTGCATAAATGACATACCAGAAGGCCTAACTTTGTGAAGTTGTGTAAGTGTCCAAATGTTATATAACTGGTCCGATTCTGGAATCTGGACAGAGAGGCTGGCTAAAGGTTCACTAAAGATTTGTCTCTGTCAATTCCTGTGTGCACAATCCTAACTTCTTTGGTTTTTCCTCACTCTGCTCATTCACCACAACTCAAACAATAACGATATTTATATATTTATATATATATATATATATATATATATATATATATATATATATATATGTGTGTGTGTGTGTGTGTCTGTCACCTCATTTGAGCAAAGCAGTAATATACAACATTATCTTCAATTGATAAAAGGTTCCAAAAATGTAAAAGAAAACAATCTTAGTCGGCATTAAGTGACAGATGGCTATAAAAAGGAATTGTTTGTTATTTACAGCTAATTTATTTAAATAATGCACTGACTACTGTTTGCCTCACGTGGCAATCATTGCAAGTAAAAAGGCACTAAAATAAGTTACCAAGTAATCGTTTTAAGTCTTTTGTATATTGGTGCCAAAAATTAATAATAATGATGACAGTGCTTCATCTAAGAAATTCAAAACATCTAAGATTGCAACTACTATTACTACTACTCAGTTTAAAGAAACAAGAGAAATAAGATGGAAAACAGACTACTCAGAAAATTAATGCAACAAATTATGTAGCACTTATTTTGACTATGTTACTTTGAAATAAGTAACAAAGTAATCATTCTATGTAAAAAAAAAAAAACAGTCTTGGCAATAAAAAAAATTACAAACGGCTATAAAAAGGCATTGTTGATTATTTACAGCTAATTTGTTTTTTTTTTAATTAATTAATCCCAAGCCAGATGATAATGCCATTAAAATGCATGGGAGAAAGAGAATAAAAAAGAAGACTTTAGAAAGAACTGGAAACCCAATCCTAAACAGGAAACAAGGGATAAACCTCTACTCCTGTTTAAAAGACCAGAGAGGAGTGTGAACCAGGCAACACATGAACATATCTACTCCTATTCACATATATAAAGATATTTTTAATTTCGCATAAATAAAGATTGACGCAGATTATAAAGAAGATATAATATTGAAAGAGAAATAAATTATTGAATGACGGAAACATAACTTTGGAAATTGCAAAAAAGTTGAACGAAAATCATAGAAAAAGAACTTAAAAACCTTATCAAGCTAAGAACAAGGGCAAACTGGTTTTAAGAATGTCACAAAAAGGGATTTGAGAAAAATTCAAAGGGTAATTGGAAATACCAAAATGAAATGAGTACAACAATTTAAATAACTGACAATTATAAAATAATACAGACCCTATTGCATTGTGATATTATTGCAAGAAAACCTTTTGCCTGGTGAAAAGACGGCTTTTTAATTTTCAGTGAGAAATTGAGACCGCTACTTTGGGATATTGGCATGAAGAGAATCTTTATGATCCATTACAGATCAACGTCCATAGTTCACCAAACACCAGTTCGAACCATGATGTTGTGGCAATGTTATGCAGAAGATGGCATTGGAAACCTTTTCATCAACTTTTAATGCCAGTTTTAACATATTTCTCTAAATGGAAAAACAAAATTACTGAAAAATTTCTTCAAAAGCATTTTCTACATTGCTCAAAAATATTGCTGTAAACTTTTGTATCAGCCAATATCAGTGTGTATGTATGTATTCTTGCAAGTTTTTTTTTTTTTTTTTGATCCTAGTTTTTGAGTCTGGTTTGGGTACTTGTTTCTAAATCTATTGACAGGGATTTTATTTCCTTTGCTAATTATAAAAATTGATTGTGTTATAGAAAGAAATGAATTGATGCTGGAATTTTTTGCATCAACCTAATGGTGAGATTCAACATAAAGGATTTTAAAAAAGTTTATAATACAAATTTGATTTGTTTTGTTTTTTTTTTCTTAACGTAAATCATTTTTCTACTTTCTATTTCTTTGTACTTTGATCTTTGATTTTTTTTACCTCAATCTTTTCTACTTTCTATTTTTTCTAATTTAATCTTTGACTTTTCATCTCATCTAAATTTTTTTCCTTTTTATTTCTTTGTACTTTGATCTTTGATTTTTTTTTTGTCTCAACTTTTCTATTTTCTATTTTTTCTAATTTGATCTTTGATTTTTTTATTTTAATCTTTTCTTCTTTCTAGTTCTTTGTACTCTAATCATTGATTTTTTTTTTTTACCGTCATCTTTTCTACTTTGATCCTTGACTTTTTTCTACTTTGATCTTTTTTAATTCTTTTGCATTGGTCTTTGATTATTCCTCTTTTAATCTTTAATTTCTCACTTTGATCTTAGACTTCTTATTCAAAAGATCAAAGTTTGATCTTTGATTTTGTTTCTTTTGATCTTTGTTTTTTGTTTTTACTGTATACTGTATATTTTTTATTTTTTCCTTTGATCTTTTATTCTTTTTTTTACTTTAATCTTTGATTTTTTTTTTTTTTTTTTTTACCTTGATCTTTTATTTCTGTTTACTTTGATCTTTTTACCATTCCTGTAGAATCAAATCTGCAGCAACCAAATCCGAAGGATGGACAGTGACAACAAACTGCTCAAAGCCCAACTCCACGACAAGGATGAACTGGAGAAGGAACTCAGAGTCAACATCAAAGATCTGGATCGAACCATTGACAATCTGGAATCAAAAGTGAGAATACTGTTTTTGAAAAAAAATTAAAAAAATTGAATTTATTGTTGTCTATAACCCTTAAAAGTACTTAACATTGGATAATTAAATGAAAAAAATATCCTACAATACATGTTTCATCCCTAGAACAGACTTCTTCAGACTAATAATGGTTTTTGTTAATGGAATCAGGCATATATATAGGTGAGAAGAAGAAATACTATAAATACTGGTTATAATTTTATGTTTTTATCACTGTGGTTGTAATAGCAAAGATTAAATTTTAAAAATTCCAAGATCAATTAAAAAAAAGGAAAGATTAAAGTAAAAAAATCAAAGTAAAAAAAAATCAAGGATCAAAGTAGAAAAAATAGAAAATAGTAAAGATTAAGGTAAAAAAGATCAAAGTAAAAAAAATCCTAGATCAAAGTACAAAGAAATAGAATGTAGAAAAGATTAAGGTAAAAAAAAAATCCAAGATCAGAGTAGAAAAAAATAGAAATCAGTAAAGCTTGAGGTAAAATAAAATCAAAGATCAAAGTAGAAAAAATAAAATGTAGAAAAGATTAACGTAAAAAAATTATCAACGGTCAAAGTAGAAATAAATAGAAATTAGACTTAATAACTTAACCAAGTTAATATTTCAGCTTTTATTAGCTTTTGTCTTTATGAATAAAGACAAAAGGAAAACTTATCTTAGCTGACACATTTCATCCTCTGAGGGACTTTAACACTCAGTAACCTCCTTGAGTCTTAGTAGCTTTATTGCCTTGCTTGGTATCAAATGATTTAAAAAAACTACTATTACAATATGGGGTATTTCAAAACAGTTGTGATAAAAACAGTGGTTCATGATTGTTTATATTTGGAGATGGACTTTGTAATAATTGGTTGTATATTGGTGTGTGTGTGTGTGTGTGTGTGTATGTATATATATATATATATATATATATATATATATATATATATATATATATATGTTCTGTTTCTGTAAGCATCTTAAGTTTAGTGTGGTCAGGGTTGGAATGTAATTCAGTGTGTTTTTTGAGACCAGGACATTTCTTCTGTGGTGGTTTTGATTGTAGGATGTTATATATATATATATATATATATATATATACTAAAAAATCCCAATGCATTTTCTTTACAGTTTTGTCCTTTATTCTGACCTGATATTGAACTTATCAATATAAGTTCAGAACATTTTTAAAAAGTTTTTCAAAATTATTGAAAAACAAATTTTTTTTAAATTAAATGTAAATTAGTATAAGCTTTTTGTATAATTAACCAATAAATTTAAGTTAAATATGTTTCTGAAATTGAAAGAAATGAATTGATGCTGGAAATTTTTGCATCAACCTAATGGTGAGATTCAACATAAAGGATTTTAAAAAAGTTAAGTCTTTCTCCCTCTTATGTGTCTATTCATCCTTTTTAATTCCAGATCAGTTTGTTTTACTTGAGCTGCAATATCTTTTGATCTGTTCTTCTCACTTCAATGCAGAATTCATTATTCAGATCCTTCATCCAATTGAGTGTGTCACATATGCTGTACATGATTGTCATGTTTCACAATTCACCTATGCATTTGATGTAAGCAGTGCTTTATGCTGAATTGGAACTCATCTTTTATCATGTGATCTCTCTTGCTTGACTGTAACAAGTAAAATAAGGTATTATTTGTACAAAACTCATTTCCACTTGATTCTGTGCTTGGAATTTGTGTGAGTTGGAAACATCATTCATTCTCTTCAGTTTGTTAATTATGGTTACATGACAATTTCATAACCAGTGTGACTTCTTTGAGTTTCGTTACCCAACTGGCTCCTGTTCTTTTCCCATTCAATGTTCGTATTTGGTCACATGATTCTGCACCTGTCTAAGTACATGAATTCGAAACAATAACCAACAGTAATGAATGTCAAACACCAATATAAGAAATTAACAAGATTTAATTATAATTAAACAATACATAAAAACATTTAGGCAAGAAAATGTATAGAAAGATGTGTGTTAGACATTTCTGTGTGGAAAGATGTATGCATTATATTCTGAGGTTAAAAATTGAAATCTGAAATAATATAAGGTTTTCTTTTTTCCCATCTTTCTCTCTCGCTTTCTCTTATGCTTCTCTTTGTCTCTTTTAATTTCAAACCAGTTCGTTTGCTCAAGAAGCAATGCCCTTCGATCTATTCTTCTTACTCCAACATTGTGTTTATTATCCGGTCACATAGTTACAGCACTGCAGAAATTGTACATTCAGTTATGAAGATTTAATGCTGTGTAAATCATAGGTTTAGCTGTGCAGGATTCATGTTTTGGATCCTTTGTTTAATTAAGTATACCATATATGCATTTCTTAGGTGACAGTCACATTTTGCCATTCACGTATGCCCTTAATGTAAACTGCATAGTGTTGAGTAAAATCAGAGTTTGTTTCCTCATGTGATCTCTCTTGCTTGACTGTAACAAGTGAAAGAAGAATTTTCTGTGCAAGACTCGTCTCCGTTTAATTCTTTATTGGAGTTTTATGTGAGTTGGGGTCGTCATTTCTTCTCAATTTGGAAAGTCAATTCATATGAGAATTTAATATACATTCCATTTCCTTCATGATTCATTACCTAACTAAGTTCTGTCAATCTTTCTCGCTCAATCATTTATATCTGGTCACATTATTCGTTAGATGTATGAGAATTTATTTTTAATTTTGGCTTCCATCTGTTGCCATGGTCACCAGTCAGACCTAATTGTCTTTGCATCCAGTGACTGCTATTACATACCAAAAGAGAGAGGGGGGAGAGTTCACATATTGTTAGAGAGAGGGGTAAGATTTTGCATGGGTATAGGTGGTGAGTTGCGAAAAGCTGTAACAGACCCCAATTGATTGTATCAAAAGATTAACCCATTTTTGTTGAACTTTTCAGAGAAAAGAAGATCAAATGATGTACAGAATCAAAGAAGCTGAGTTGGCTCAAATTATTGGCGAACAGAGGCAAAAGATTGCTCACCTGGACGTGCAGGTAAGAAATACAGTGACATGGCAAAAAAATCTCCACCTCTCTTTCCAAAAAGCGATTTTATTCAAGAAGTTAAGTACTATCTGTAGTCATCTGGTGGTCATGGGGCTCATCTATCACATATAAGGGAGGCAACTTTAGATAACTGAACCAGGCTAAAAAAAACAGTGGCTCTCAACATTTTTTGCCCAATGTACACTTTTCACTATAAGTCTCTACAGCGAAATACCTCTACTTTGCATTCATTTTGACGTTTCTTATTTCAATATAACCTATATTATTCCATTTCCTTTTTTATCTGTTGTTTTGTGTTGATGTTGTCTTAATTTCTTTGTTTGTTTGCAAATTACTTACTTTCTTTTACTTTCTGTTATATTTATATTTATATATATATATATATATATATATATAGATTCAGACTTCCTCCTCAGAGAGCTCAACTGAAATAAATTTTCCTGGAGCATATATCTGTTATATATATATATATATATATATATATATATATATATATATATATATGTATGTATGTATGCTATATATCTGAGGCATTAAGTTTATAATTCATACACTGATGCCCTCAAGGACACATAGCCCAGTGAATTAAAAGCGTTGGTTGACTTGATCCAAAGAGTTGTGAGTTCAATACCTGGTTATGGTAGTAGTGAACAAAAACTTGGTTCTACATTCTTCTTGACTGTTGTCCTTATCTTTTTTGCCATATTCATGATGTTGAATTAAAGGGAGATAACTGAGACATCCGGATGAGACATGGCACGTGGAACTAGAACAATCTGCCTCCGTGAATGAAATAAAGGGGTCAGTTCAAAATTCCAATTACCTGAAGAAGGCCAGAGCGTCTTGAATATGGCAAAGAAAGATAAGGACTGTTGTCCTTATCTTTCTTTGCCATATTCAAGACATTTTTGCTGTTGTATGCTCTGGACGCAAATAGTGTAAATTGTTTTTCCATTTTTAGCATTTTAATATGGTGTAGATTACTGTAGAAATTCCAATTCTCAGTTATTCTGTGATTAAAAAAAAAACAGTTTCAAAAAATGATCAGATAAGTGATGTTAAGACACAGAATATTGATTAAAATCGATAAATGTTGAACATTTTCTCTGAGACTCTTTGACATGTCACTATTTGAACTGCTGTTTTTTTTTTTATTTCCTACCATTAACCATACGTCCTGGGTATGATAAACTACATCCATGTCCTATCTATGACGATCAACTACATCCAGAGGTTTTGAGGAACGTGGAACCACCTCTTAATTGCTAGTTTTCCTAGGTCCATCCTGACCTGGGGTGGTAGCACCTGTTAGGGTCCCAGCTATAAGCAAATAGTTAACCCCCAAACTGGGGTCAAAATACTATGAAAGTGTAAGAATAGGTTTTAATATCAGAAATAGATTTAAAAAAAAAAAAAAAAAAATATTACCAGTAATACATTATTAAAAAATATATATATATTACCAGAAATAAAGATTATCAGCATTAAATAACCCATTGAGGTGTTGATATGCTGTAAAACAAAACCAAACTGAATATAAATGTTGGTTTAACCATCTTTACAAAAAATATATTAAACCTAAGAAACATTTCTGTATATTCTATTCATACAAATCTATCCTAAAAATCTTATCAGCATTAAATAACCCATTGAGGTGTTGATATGCTGTAAAACAAACCAAACTGTTAAATGTTGGTTTAGCCATCTTGCTGCTATTGAAACATGTATGGCAACACACCAGATTCTTGAAGACCTGAACACACCAAACACACCAGATTCTTGAAGGAATGGAAGGGCTGCCTTCCTGTTCCTATCATTGTTCAACTTTGCCTTGTTACGTTTTTTGTTTCTAAGTCACAGAATCTTCTCATAAACACAATTTCATTTTTTAATAGGTTGGTGGTGGTGGTGAGTTAGTAAGGATACAATTTTAGGTCACCACATTGAGAATTGAACTTCCAACATTGACTGATCTGGTTCATAGTGTCCACCCTTTTCATTGTGTTCACAAAAATTTGACTCTCCCAAAGAGTTTGATGAAATATATGAGCAAACATTAAGAGCCAACAAAAGATGTTTCTCCTGACATTCAACAGAAAAATTAAGGAAATATTTTTACATGAGTTGATTTGGTTGGTTGTTTTTGTTTAGCGGCATATCAACACCTCTATGGGTTTTTAATTTTTTTTTTTTTTTTTTTTTAAGTTATAAGTTTTACTAATTAACCCTTAGCTGGAGGGGTTAGAAGAGGTATGTTGTACCTTTACCCAAGAGTATTTGGGTGTCAGTGAATATAATGAACCTAACTGGAATTGGAACTTGGCTTTTCTGATTAACAATTCTGAGCTGCTATCCATTACACTGCATGCATATCCAAGCTTACAGCACCTGGTATTCCCAAGCAGTCACCCATCTAGATACTGACCAGGCTTAACTTCATTGATCATACTGGTGTTTCAACATGATGTAGCTGAAACCTTACACGAGTTGAAATACTCTATTTCACTAAAATAATCCTACAATATAACTAATGTGTACTTATTATGATCACGTAGTTAGAACATTTGATCTCCAAGACCTGGGTTCAAATCTTACCATGATCGATTTGTCAGGAAGGAGACTTTTTAATGAGGATGGGGAGGCAAAATTTTGCTTTGTGAGTGAAATTAAGTAGATGGAACTCTTTGGAAAGATGTCGATGGTTATGCTAGCACAAAGTCAAAAGTCATCGTGACTGAGAGTTTTAGCATACTGACCTCATTCAGATTGTTGATCACACCAGAAACTGTAACTAAGGTCTGCTCTGTATAGTTGCAGTATAAACCACAGGTGGGCTCTGTGGATGTTGAACAAATACCTAAGCAGGCATCTGCAACAGAGATTAGCTAGCCACCCTAGTTTACGGGCATACTCGGATAATGAGCAGCCAGACATTAATTTATTATAAACTTATTTGCTCAGACTAATATCCTCATCTTGATTGGCTCAGAATAATATCTTTATTTGATTAGACCAACATCCTCCTCTTTATTTGCTTTGACTAATATCCTCATTTTGTTTGAAGTTCAGAAGTGAGAAATTATAACATTGATTTTATACAAACTATACAAAATGAGGATGTTAAACCAATCAATGATAATTCCTCATTTCAAAAACTTAAACAAAACAAAGAAAATAATGCAAATTTGTATGATTGATGCAATTTCATTAACTGGAATTTTTTATTGCAGAAAGCGGAATTGATCACATCCGGGCAGTTGCTAGCCAAAGGAGGAACACAAGACCTTCAAAATAAAATTCACGATCTTCAGGAAGAGGTAAGAATTATTATGAGCTAAATGTTTTAATAAGTATTGTGTGTGTGTGTGTGTGTATATATATATATATATAAGTGAACATTGAAGTCAACACTTAGAGGCGACAGGCTGTTTCAGGATAGACACAATCATCAGGCCTGACAATTGTGTCTAGCATGAAACAGCCTGTCACCTCTAAGTGTTGACTTCAATGTTCACTTTTATATTTACACACTCTCTATCTCTGATATTGAGCACTTTATCCCATAAATATAACACACCTTAAGAGTATATTTCTTCATATATATATATATATTTATATATCCACGTATAAGGTAACCTTTAGATAAGACAAGGTCAAAAAAAATATAGCAAATTTTCATGAATTTATCCTATACCTATAAAATGACTGTTTATTATGTAAAGATGATGTTATTGGAAATGTTGTTACTTGCTATATCCTTAGAAATTCAAAATCAACAAAACCAATTCTATATCAAAGGGAAACTGTTGTTTTGTTTACGATTTATCATATGATCTCTTGTGAATTGATTCTTTCTTCTTTTTTTCCTATATCTTTTTCTTCTTCCTCTTCTTTTCCTATATCTTTTTCTTCCTCTTCTTTTCCTATATCTTTTTCTTCCTCTTCTTTTCCTATATCTTCTTCTTCCTCTTCTTTTCCTATATCTTCTTCTTCCTCTTCTTTTCCCTATATCTTCTACTTCCTCTTCCTTTCTTATATCTCCTTCTTCCTCCTCTTCTTTTCCTACATCTAAACAGTTACAAACATTTACTTATACTCCATTGACAATCACAAAATACCGCTAATAACAGTACGATAATAGTACATTCCATTGTTGTGAAGGCAATCATAACTCAATGTTTACATTTTCTCAGTTTAGCTTGCATGGATACAAGTTGATTGATAAGGAATTATTCTTTGGATAGACAATTTATTATGAAATTGTGCCATGTGCGATACACACTTAGGCAATCATGTATCTTTTGATACATGACTGACGAGGCAGATTTTTTTTTCCTGCAGTAGGTTGCCATTTCTTTCTGCGGTAGACCAGTTGCCATCCAAGGCTATAGAACCCGGTCTGTCCTGATATTTACCCATAACTAGTGGGTTGGGGAGAAGAGGATTTATACCTTTCCCAAGGGTATTAGCACATAAGTAAATGTAATGGATTCGAACTTGGCTCTCCAATTCCTCAATCTGAGCCGCTATCTCCACCATACTTTAATATATAAGGTAGAAATCACTTTATTACTTTTATTATCAGTTTATTTGATAATGTGAATCTTTTCCTGTACATTATTAGCCATGTTTATCCTACCGACAAACGTCATTCAGAATTTTATATCAGTGGATAGATAGCATTCACCAGGTAATTGAGAACAATTTCTCATATTTAGAAAGATAGAAAAAAGTTTTCCCATGAAAGGTAAAACCAACTTAAAAGACAAGGATGGCCTTGATTCAGTTTTGGAAAAAAAATATATACACAGACCAGATGGTTTTTATTCATGTGAACCATCATGACTTTAATGGTGACTTTTAGCAAATAAATCTTCATCTTGTAACGCTGCAGACATACTTGGCCAAGGAATTCAAATCAAACGAGCTTGGCAGCCATGATTTGAGGTGGGGGATCTAGATCAACCACTCTTGGCAATATGGGACAGAGCAGATCCCTACTGGAAACATGTACTGCTAAGGCTGGGTAACACCCTTGACCACTGTTGATCTGGGTGGTTAACATTGACCCTGTGACCTTGCAGAGAGAAGTATTTTCTATTATTATTTTATTACTAGTTTCATTCCATCTTATTATTGTTGCTTTTTATCCCAACATTCTATTATTATTTTATTACTAGTTTTATTCCATCTTATTATTGTTGCCTTTTATCCCAACATTCAATTATTATCTGTCAAAATACAGTTAGAAATTCCAATGTATATCACCTGAAGAAGACCGGAGCATACAATGGCTGAAACATTGTGAATATGACAATAAAGATGATGACATCAGTTCGAACGATATTAATAGTGTAAATACTCTATTATTATTATTATTTTAATTCACTTTTTATTTTGTTGTTCTGCAGGTTTTACAACTGAAAATGGCCAGTGGCTCCATACTGGAAAATGCAACGATGATTGGTAGTATCATGAGTGTAGGTGGAGATGACGAAGAGATGCGAGAATTAATGGACTCAGAAACATTGAATCGGACATTAACTGAAATCATTGAAGGCAAATCGCAAATCTCTGCACAAATGAACGGTTATTCAGGGCTGAATAGTGAAGAAAACACTCCAGAGATGGCAATTACACCCACCGATGATGCTGAAGATAACAGCCTGGCCGTTTTTGCAAAAACTGTTCAATCCATTGAGAGATCAATGGGAGAAAAGGCTTGCCCTGAGGAGACCAAGAATGATGGTGAAGCCAAAGACAACAACGATGCTGCCTTGTTAGAAAGTCGGGTATAGCCCTTTATAAAGTCAGTGCCTGAATTTGGTAATGACCTTTGGTCAGGGGTCATTTGTTCATCAAGGGGGAGGGGGTATATTTTACTACACATATAACCAAATGAACAATTGTAAAAAAAAAAAAATATATATATATATATATATACAAATGTAAGAATGACATTGAGAAAAAGATGCATTTTTATGAAACACTGAACAGGACAATATTTGTTGTTTACTAAGCTATGCTTAGTCTGGCACAAGGCCACAATTATGGGATGCTCAGTGAGGATCAAAATCAATACTCTGTAGTTTTGATCAACCAGACTAGATTGTTAACCATTACCCCACACCAAGGTGCCCAAAAGACAATATTTGTTTGTAAAGAACTATAGAACATTATTATTATTATTATTTTTTTTTTTTTTTTTGGCACTAGACATTTTTTGGGGGAAATAAGAAAAGGATATTTCAATTATTGATTTTACTTTTTCTTTTTTTTTCTTTGACATTTTAAAATGTTTTTACTTTGCTAAATATTTGCTTTAAACAACTGACATCTATTTTTCCCTAATGGGATATGCACGCATGGTTTTAAGAAAAGAAAAAAAAAATTTTTTTTTTTTTTTCTAAAAATGTTTTTCCTAAGAATTGTTTTTTTTTTTTTTTTTATTATTTTTTAAATATTTTTTATAATTCCTCCCCCTAAAAAATTTGAAGAACCAAAAATTTATAAAAAGACGTTGGTAGTGAAAATTCTTCCTCTATTCTTATTCCCTGTTTTCTTGAAAGCCCCCCCCAACTTTTTGTTAAAAGAAAAATAATGTATTAATGAGCTTAAAATATTACATTAAATTATGACGAATTATCTATAATCCATAAATTCTTAGATAATCCGATGAGGAAAATAATTTTATATTTTAAGACTTCTGAAACTGTTTCCCCCCACATACCCTTTTGTCCTGCTTGAGAGTGTCATAGATTCTCCTTAATTTCTTTCTTTTTTAATCATTTCGCCCTAAGCAAGGCAGTAAAGCCACTAAGACACAAGAGTGTGAAAGAATAAGAGAAAAAGAAAAAAATTAAAAAGAAAGAACAATAAAAGAAAAGGAATCAAGAAGGTAGAAGATAATGATTGACGTCGCATTTAAATTTTTGATGATCAAATTTTACTTCAAAGCAAGAAGCCAGAAGAAAGTTCCACAAGTGAGAAGTGTGAGAGAAGAAACTGTTAGCATAGAACTTACAGTTACATCTAACCATTTTCAACTAAAATGATGAGACCTATCTGCCAATCTAGTCGTACACTTAAATTCATAAAGTCTAGGTACCAAAGCAGAAGGTTCATCAGAAAAATTACCATGAAAGTATTTATAGAAAAGCCACAGGAAAGCTATTTTATGGTGGTGGGAAAGGGATTGAAACCGAGATGCCAGGTCAGGACTAACGACATTGCAGATTCTTCTTTAGATTTTATCAAGAATCTCTAAATATAATGCAGGAGCACCAGACCAAGTGTGGCATCAATATTCAAAACATGAACGAATGGTAGGCTTATCAATATGCAAAATAGATTCTGGCAAGAAAAATTGTCTAGCATGACACAGTGAACAAGCTTTTCATACAGCAGACTTAGCAGGTGATTCAATATAATATAGCTTAAACTTAGAGTTACTTCTAGCCATTTCAACTGTAAAATGACGAGACATTGCCGCCAATCTAGTACTGTGCTTAAATTCATAAAGTCGCATAGAGGAAAGTTCATCAGAACAATTGCCATGTTATGGCTGTGGGAAAAGGGGCGAAAGCTGAGATGCCAGGTCAGGACCAATGACATTGCAGATTTTTCTTTGGATTTTATCAAGAATCTCCGGATATAAAGCAGGAGTATGAGTCTTGAATGAAATTTGGTCTTGGCTGAAAAAAATTGTTTGCAACAGTAAGTGGATGTAAACCGCAAAAGATTTTCCAAACTTTTTTTTTCAACACAGATCAATATAACTACACTTATGGAACACCAAACATTTGAGATTTCAAAAAGATCTTTGGCCATAGAATAATTCTGGAAGATCTACTTGCAAATTGTCTGAAAGTGGGAAATCCTTCAATTAATACATTTTCGATTAGTGCTCTAAAAATTTTATATACCAAAATTCGATTAGTGTATACATAATACTCAATTAGTGCGGTAAAACATTCTTCCATTTCTAGGTACCTCCACTTGCTTGCTGAAAAACAGCATAGCATGATGAAAAAAAGTCCCCTAACTTAATAAAAAGAAAGTTTTATGATCAAAATGCTTGTTATTGTTAAGAGGAAAGAACAAAATATTTTTTTACTATTTTATGAAATTTTTTAATTCTTTCTAGCACGTTCAAAATTTTGCTTAAAAATCTTGTTTTTTTTGCATCAGCGGTTGACGTTAATTTTCAATTAGTGTTTTTGCACTTCTTTCTGGTGAAAAACACACTGATTTAGAAATTCTTGCAAAAATCAAATAATTGTCATATTTTAATGTAACTTTCAGGACTTATTCACAAATGAATGAAATTATTTTTGAAATTATTTTTTTTTTTTTTTTAGAAAATCTTGGTAAAAAATTTTTTTTTTTACATGTTCCATCTCCCCCACATTTTAAGAAATTGCAATCTCAAAATTTGTTTTATTAGTTAAAAAACAGGACTCTTAGGAGAATGTAAATCATCAATTTTTTTTTTTCAAATTACTACTCATTTCCTGAAAATCTGCTCTGAATCTTAAAATAAAAACTGCCATTATTTAATTAGAAAAGCTTTTAATTACTTTTATAATTAAGATTTATTAAGGACACTATTGTCTGAAGAAAAAAATTTTTTGATGTATAATGAATTTTGACAAGAATGGTTTTCATTTTTAAAAAATTTAATTATAATAATTTATAAAATTATAAATCTTTTAAAATTCTGCATTACTTCAATCCGGTTGGGTGACATTGTTATTAAGTGAAAACTATATTTATAAATCAAAAATTGAAAAGCTCAATAAAGTTGTTTACCACCCAATATTTTTTTTAAATTTAAATTTTTTTTATGTATATAAAAAATAACTTGCCTTTGTTTGAAAGTATGGTTGACCATACACAACATAATCAGAAAATAAGAGTGATGACTATAGTAAAATTAGATTACGGAGAATATTTTCCAACATTTTTAAGATTACCAAGTACTCAAAAACTATATTAAAAAAGGCACTTACCTGTCATTTTATTAAATTATGTTTTTTCACTGATAAAGTCTCCATAGAACAACAGTAAAGATGTTGACAGATTTTATCATTGCTTGTCAAGTGATCTACAAGTGAAAAGTGATGGTGATAAGCACATAATCACTGCTACTGTTTAAGTTTAAAATAGCAAAGAAATGGATTTTTAAAATAAAGTAAATAATATATTTTCAAATCAGATTAATTACACTTTAAATCAGCTAATATTCAGAAAAGTATATTTTATTTTTGGAAGATTTTTAAAACTGAGAATTAACTTTTGTTTACAAATGTGTCAAAAATGGCCAATTTTGTGAAAGTGAACAAAATGTTGAGATTCTAATCAATATAATTTCTATTTGAAATGCACCAGAATATTTTGCTTACTGGAAATAGTAAACTAAGTCATTTAGCTTTCAATTAAAGCTAAAATGAAAGCTTCAAGAATGCTTTTTCATTTTTAAAAATGAATTTTAAACTTTAGGTGTCAAAAATTCAGTGGAGGTACCTATGTTTAACCATAGTAATTGAAAACTGATTTTTTTTTTATAGTTACCGATATACACGTTAGCCGCACTAATTGAGGGATTCCTGTATAGCCGAGAGTCAAAGTGGGAATACAGAAAGAAATTGTCTTTTTTCATTAATGGGGACAGGGAAGACACATTGTAAAAAGTATCGAAAGTGTGAGTGACTTGATCATAGATCCCCCCCACTCCCTAATTTCTCTTGTGTACCTACAAGATTCATTTACATTGTTTGGAGTGTTGTCCTCATTTTGTCACATTCACAATGTTTCGGCTGTTGTACACACTGGCCTTCTTCAGGTGATATTTTTGGGAATTTTTAACTGAACCCTTTATTTCGTCCACGGGGGATAGATTGTTCTAATTCCACATACCATGCTTTTGGATATCTCAGTTTTTAATCAACCAACATTTTTATCCATGGCCCAGTGGATAAAAGCAAGTTGTGAGTTCAATCCTTGGTTGATTGATTCTAAAAAGTGACTTGACCCAAAGAGTTTTGAGATCAATCCCTGGCCCCATCAGAGAGAACAAAAAAGAAACTTGGCAAAATAACTAAAACTGAAATATCCAAAAAAAGGCATGGTACATGGAATTAGAACAATCTACTGCCGTGGACTAAATAAAGGGTTTTGTTTGAAATTCCAACAAATTTCACCTGAAGAAGGCTGGCACGTACAATGGCCGAAACATTGTGAATGTGACAATAAAAATGAGGAGAACAGTCCAAATGATGTAAATAGTTATACAGTGTAACCGGGATATAAGAGATTTGTTGGGACCGGAGAAGAAGTCTCTTATATCCGGGTTTCTCTTATATCCGGGTTTGGTCTATTTTATATACATTAACACAGGCTCTAATTTGGGACTAGAGAAAATCTCTCTTATATCCGGGTTACACTGTAATAACCTCATTTCAGAAATGTAGACAAATTTTCCAGGATACATGTAATCCAGTTTGAGAAACAAGATTTGAATTTATCGATGAAGAATCCAAACCTTACCTGTAACTATTGATTATATCAAATTCTTGATGTCCAGGTGGGAAATCATATCTAAACGCAATTGTCTTAAAAACAGTTATAATCACAATCTTTGTATCTGCAAATCTATAAAAATATTATTCAAGATATTTTACTTCTATTTTAATTAAGCATTGCTTTGGGAGCTATCAAGATTTATCAACAACAGACATGATCTTGAATTGAGAAAATATGGACTGACTAACTACTTCAAAGACCCTGAAAGAACTCT